CGAGGCAAGCATCGCGCCTTCGGTCTGCTAGTCCTAGCCGCCCGGCCCTCTCCACCAGACAGTATTCGGCGTACGGCCCGCTACATGTTTCAGTACCATCATTCTCCTGGTTCCCTGAACTTTCGTTGACAAGCAATGCATATGCCGTGTACGAAGAACGGAAGAACTGAGGCCAAAACACTAGCGGCGGTGAACTGGTATGCCGGATGACCAGTGGCGTAGACAGTCGCGTCACTGCTCTACGTGCGAGTGAAGGAGAAGAGTCCAGACTTCAGGGTAAAGATATGATCTTTGAACACCGGAGGACGTGGTGATGGTATGCCGCCGAGTTACGCGCGCAACGAACAATGCATCGCCTTGAAGTGTAGGCTATCACCGAGATCTTCTCACGCGGACCATTCTCTTCGGCAGAGTTGAATGTCATTCGGACCGTACTGAACTGTGGCTAAGGAAACCCTGGCACCCGGCTTCAACCTAAGCGGCCGCCACATCCGCAACCTCATCCGTCCAGATCGTCGGCACAGTATCATACGGGTTATCCAACGTATCATCCGTAATGAACACCGCGCCGGCCCCAAGCGCGCCAATCTGACTGATAAGCGAAGCCGGCGCGCTCGACGGACCGCCGTACAGTATGATCGCCTGCTTCGCAGCCGGCGCAGACGACGAGATCGTCAAGTCCGAAGTGCTGAAGCCGGAGTACGCGTCCTCGTATGTGACGAGGAGATCCGCTGCGCTGAAGTAGCCTAAGTTGGCTGTTGTTCCGGGGTTGAATACGATCTGCACGAGGCGGCTTCAGCGCATTGTCCAGAACTCGCTTAGGGATGACATACGTAGCTGAAGCCCTTGTTGCGGGCGTACGTTGCATATGACGCGTACTGGCTAACCTGACCCGACCCATCCGGCACTTCATCGAAGAAGATGCCCGAAGGACGGTAGGAGGTCGGCCAAGTAGCATATGTATCGAGGTCCGCTTCGACATCGCTGGTTGAACGATCACCGTAGCCAGTGCTGACGTATCCCAGCACGGTGCTAGATGCCGCGTTCTTCAACGTTGGGATGCACGTTACGTAGTTCGGGTATAAGTCGGATGTCGACATCGGGCCATTGTCAGGGTTGATGATGGTGTAGAGATGTACGTTCGAGTGTCCTGCCAACCTGACAACGCACGCAATGAGGTTCCAGTACTGATAGAATCGATATAGGCGTTGCAGGTACTCACGGATTGACTATGGCGGTGTACTGTGCGCAACTTTTAGTGTCGCAGTCGTCACCATCACCACAGAAGTAAGCAGGGAACAGGATGTTCAAGCCTAGTACAGCCGGAACCAGCGCGGCGAGGAGGGCGGCTCTGGTGAACATGTTGGGGTGCTTGCTGTCTCTGAAGGGTCAGACGGGGACCTTATATATGTGTTGAGAGCCCCGGTCGAGACGCGGGGATCGGGAGCATCAGATGTCTCATATTGTGCAGCACGAACTTGCGCGCACACAACTTTCTGTGCGCATGGTCGTTGGGCATTACTGTCCGCCGCCGAGTCATTCAGTCACGCATATGCGAGCTGTATTCAAAGCTCTAGATGAGCTAGTTGCAGGCTGTCAGCCGCACTTTACACCATGTTTGACATTGATATCGCAAGACCCAACGAAAGCAGTCTCGCCTTCACCTCAATCCGATTCAACCTCTTCCCTCAAGCCACCGCAATATCAGCCACCTCCGCCGCCCAGATACTCGGCACCGTATCCCAAGGGTTATCCGTGCTCGGGTTGCTGTAGGTATCGTCGGTAACATAGACGGTACCGACACCGAGCGACGCCAGCGAGTCGATCAAAGAAGTCGGCGAGCTCGACGGTCCGTTGTACGCCAGGACTGCCTGCTTGGCCGCCGGCGTGGATGAGGAGATGACCAGGTTCGACGTGGAGAAGCTGGAGTATGCGGACTCGTAGGTCACGATGAGGTCGGCGGAGGTGTAGTAGGCGAAGTTCGTTGAGGTTCCGGGGTTGTACACAATCTGCGACGCGTTCACGGTTCAGCACAAGAGATGCATGTAATGTTCAGGGGGGAACGCACGAAGCTGAAGCCCTTGCTACGAGCATACGAAGCGTACGAGGCGTACTGGCTTGCAAGAGAAGCATCGTTGCTAGCCTCGTCGAAGAAGATGCCAGTGGGGCGGTACGTCGTCGGCCATGTCGCGTACGTGTCAATATCCGCTTCAACGTCCGCAATGGCCTGGTTGCCGTAGTTGGTCCGGACGTAACCGAGCACAGTGCTGCTAGACCCAGCGTTCTTCAGCTCCGGGATGCAGGTGGCGTAGTTCGGGTAGAGGTCGGTCGTAGACATCGGGCCGCTCGCGGGGTTGATGATAGTGTAGATGGGGACGGTGGGGTGAGCTTTGACTCTGTTGCAAGTCAGATACAGCTTCCGCAGGGTGAAAAGGAAAAAGACTCACTGGGCGACAATGGAGTCATACTGGGGGCAGTCCGTCGCGTAGCAGTTCGCACTGTCACCGCAGAAGTAAGCCGGGAAGAGCACGCCCAACCCAAACGCGCCGGGCAGGAGCGCAACAACAGCTGCAGCTTGGATGAACATATCAAAGACGATGGACCTCTCCCAGACGTCGCTCGTCCGTCTGCCTTTATACGACTCCGTCAACTTCGGGCTCGAGGCGGCCGACAACCGAGGTCCAGCAGGGGTCCCAAAAGCGCAGGAGATCGCCGTCTAGCGCCCATATAAGCTGCCCTCCTCGCCATAAGGCATGTCTCGTAATTGTATGGTAGACCGTGGTCGGGACCTATCAGAACACCAAAGCCCAGATGGTTGTTTCGCATGGAAGAGCCAGGTGATGATCGGACGCATGCTGCGAGTCGCAGCTCAGAGTTTGCGTCCTCGGTCCGCAGGTCGAGAGGTTGCTGGGCGGATCGCCTGAACTGAAGCACGTTGCTCTGCGAGCACATGCATGGACCTCGTCGTGAAACGCAATACGGGGAGTATATTGGACGATCGTGCGATGACAGCTAACGAAGAAACGATAGACCACGACGCGCATGGGGTCCGTACAAGAA